GAGCAGCGACTGGAGCACAGAACAAAGCACATTGCTCTCCGCTACTTCCTTGCTCGTGAGCTACAGCAACGTGGACAGTTGCGGCTTGCGTACGTGGCCTCTGAGGCCAACACTGCTGATGTCTTCACCAAGGCACTTCCGCCTTGTGATCATCAGCGCTTCTGCACTCAGCTGGGTCTTGTGCCCATCTTGCCTCACTTGCTCTCCTCTTGACCTTGCTTGTACTCTCACATATATATATACCTGCTCTTGCTTGTCTAGCTTTATATATATGTGTGTACTCTTGCATGTGAACTGGCCGTGTGGCCTTGACCCTGTGCTCGGACTGTGTGGTGACTTTGTGATCCACCCTGAGCTTGCTTTGCTTTGCTTTGCTTGACTGGTCTTGTGACCCCTTGTTCTCCCCCACTTTGCCTATGGGGGTGTGTCAGAACATTGTAGCTTATGCTGTTGTGTAGGCTATAGTGGGGTATCCCATAGGGGGTACAACCAATTAGGGTTTCATATTTGTACTCACTTCATTTCATAGTTCATCCATTCTCGTTCTCATTCTCACAGGCTCCAATAGCGATGTCGCTTGCGTCTGGTACTACTTCGAAGGGGCGGTGTGGGTCAGCGATGCGCAGTACGGGCGGTGAACAGAGAACAGTTTTCAGGGCAGAGAAGGCAGCCTGCTCTTTCTCCCCCCACGTAAAAGCGACCCCCTTCCGCAGCAGATCCGTCAGTGGGGCTGTTAACCTCGCCATGTCGGGGACGAACCGACGCACGTAATTAACGAACCCTAAAAAACTCTGCAGCTCCGTGATATTTGTCGGGGGGTGCCACGCCTGTACCGTGTCCAGCTTCTTTGGGTCGATTTCAACCCCAGCCTCCGAAATAACGTGTCCTAAAAATTCTAACCTGTCCTGAAAAAACTCGCACATGGAACCCTTGGTCAGTAACCGGTGCTCGTCTAAAACCTTAAAAACTGCTTCCAGATCTTCTAAGTGCTGCTGCTTATCGCGACTGTAGACTAGGATGTCGTCGAGGTAAACTATCACGCATTTATCTAAGAGTGGTCTGAACGCCTCGTTCATGGTCATCTGGAATGTTGCCGGTGCGTTGGTCAGCCCGAAAGGCATTACGGTGTACTCGAATGACCCGTACCTAGTCCTAAATGCTGTCTTGGCGCAGTCTGATGGTTCGACCCGGATCTGGTGGTAACCTCCCCGTAAATCAATTTTCGAAAAGACCCGTGCTGTTCGCAGTTGATCTATCAGTTCGTCGGCGCGGGGAATGGGGTATCGCGACTTGACTGTAACCCTATTCAGTGCTCTGTAGTCGATGCACATTCGGAAACCTCCGTCCTTTTTCGGTGTGAACAGTATCGGTGCGGCGAACGGTGATGAACTCGGTTGGATGAATTTCTTTTCCAGTAGGTAATCTAACTGCTTCCTTAGTTCGTCGAGCTCGGGCTGTGTCAGTCTGAACTGCCGCTGTACGGTTGGCTGTGCCCCGGGTTCTAACTCTATCCGGTGGTCGTGTGCTCGCTGAGGTGGCAGTCCCTCCGGTAAGTCGTCGGGAAAAATCCCCGGGTATCGTTTCAACAGTTCATGTAGTTCGGGCGGTACTGCTGCCAACAGTTTCTGAAAATCGCTCGGCTGCTCTGCTTCTTCTACCACTGCGATGTCCACTGCGTACACGTCAGCTCCAGCGGCGACTGCCCGTTTCATTGTGATAGCATTGACGTGGACCGTTGAAGACTCAGGCGACTGCCAGCGAGGTAGCTCAACCCAGTTACCGCTACTTCGCACAGTGCAGCTACCTGTCGTCCAGTCGATTCGTGGGTTATATCGTCGCAGCCAATCACGTCCCAGTAAAATGTCGTGCCCATCCAATGTCGTCGCGAGCATTTCCTGTGTAAACCCAAAGTTCCCCCCGCAGCGGACCTTTACCCTCTCCACCTTCTCCCGTATGGCCAGCGGTGTTCCGTCCACTAAGCGTGCATCTATTTCCGGTAAACACCGACTAAGTGCCAGTTGCAGCTTCCGGGCGGTCGCGGTATTAACTAAACTGTGACTTGCTCCCCCGTCTATAAAAATCTTCACTGCTGCCCCCTGTATTTTCCCGTGGATCAGTACTGGGCAATCCGTCGCTGTACCCTCCTTATTCGTCCGAGCCCGATCGATAGCATGAATCGGTACTCTGACTCGGTGAGGGTCGGTGAGGATGGGCGAGCAGGCAGTCTCGTCAGTAGTTGGCCCGATTCCTACTGACTGCTGGCGTTTCCCTGCCTTGGAGACTCCCTCCCCTGCTCTACTCCGCGGCACCTCAGCTCCTCTGGGCACTCACTCTTGCGATGGCCCGGCCTATTGCAAGCAAAGCAGCGCCCCTTAAACGGCGCGGCAGCTGCATTTGTCGCAACGGCATGTACAGTGGCGTGCTCGATCGGTCCCCGAGGGCGATGTCCGTAGTAGGACCCCGGTCTCGGACGGCGTAAGATGTCGATTTTCTCGGCGAGCGCGAGAATCTCGTTGAAATTCGAGAGTCCGCGTAGCATGATTTCGTGCGAGATGTCCGGCTTCAGCCCTCCAACGTAACGGTCCACCCGCTCCGCTTCGTGCATGTAGCCGACTTGTTCGCATAATGCGAGAAAACCACTCGTGTAGTCTTGAACCGACCCGAGCTGCCGCCAAGTACGCAGTCTCTGACGCGCCGAAATAGAAGCCGCGATCGGCTCGAAGCGCGCCCGAAGCCCTGCGCACCACGCATCCCACGTGCTGTACTGGGCTGTTTCGCAGAATGAACTCCATGTGACGGCTGGACCCGTGGGCCCTTCCTCTTGCGACGGTGGCTCGTAGGCGCGTGGCGACGTCACGATGACTCGCCACCAGTCCATGGCGGGGCCCCTCAGCAGCGAAACAGCGTAACGAATCTTCGCTGCGTCCGATTCGACGTAATTCGCGTCGAAGAAAACGTTCATCGTGAAGACCCACGATTGAACCGTCGGACCTCCATGTTGGCTCGGATCAAAACAGGGCGGGCGCTGCGGCTTGAGTGGCATTGGTGCCATGATGTCGTGGCTGCCACTTGTTGCTGCAAACTCCACGTGCCGACGAGCTTCGCGAGGCCCACGCGGGCTTGGCGCGGCCCGATTTCTCTCCATGCCAGGCATCGATTGAGCGGCGCCATCACTGGCTGCGCCTGAGCGCTGTCCCACGCTGTCGTTTTGCGTCGGTGTGCCTGATGAGATGACGATCGGTTCTTCTGATTGCGCAGGTGCATTTGCGGGTACTTGTGATGGTGCTGGCGCATTCACCGTTGATTGCTGGCGGGCGGAGTCACGTTCCGCCGTGTGTGTCGCGATTTCGAGCGCCGAGTCTTCGAGTTGGCGCACGAGACGGTCGAGTTGCTCCTGCGTTAATGTCGCAAGAGTAATTTCGGCCATGGCGGGGGTGTCGGGCAAGCTCAGCGAGAGCCTCTGTCGTGGCCGTGCGTGCTTTCGAGAGAGCACTTCGAGCGGCAGTGCTGGTTCGCTGAGAGACGTCCACCCCCCCCAAAATTTGAGATAATGGGGAAGCGAAGGTGTGGGCGCGGTCCGAGAGGAGATCGTAGGCTCTGAATGCCAAGTGTTACGAGTGCAATTGAACGAGCGAGTGAGAATTGCACTATCGAAGCAATCAATACAGTTGAGCGAAAAGCATGAGCGAAGTTATATAGCGAAGCTAGCGTGGTAACGGTAATGCGGGAAATTGGGGTGCGCTACGGGCTTAGCGCCGAGGTTGGGAATTGTCGAGGCGGAGGTCCGGAGCGCGGGTTACCAACCGAACCGTGAGGTTGGGTCGCATCGTGAACAGTGGCGGGAGTCGTGGTCGAGGCGAATGTCGCGAGCGGGTAACGTTCACGGATGGGTGCCGATGGCGGGAACGGGCATGTACGCGGTAAGCAGGGACGCGAAGTAAGGAAAAGGAATTTTCCTTACAGAGAGGCAGACGAACATAGAAAATGTCAGATGACTGTTCCAAGCAACCTCGATATTGTACTACTGACCTATGCGATTGAGCGTTTGCTGCAACCCACATGAGATGCTTATACGCTCAACACAGATGGTACCTTCTGTAAGTTTCCACCTAGGTTAATTGTTGAGCATCCGTGCACAAACTAGGCAGCTTGATTTGATCAGAAATGACATTTTATGTACATGCAGACACTTAAAATTGATACATACTTCTGGTCCTCCAATCAGTCCAAGGCCCACCACACTTGATAATAATACTATAAATTCATTTGTAGAGCACGCTGTGTTGCAAAGTATTTGTAGCCCGATTTGTGTCGTCAAGTGTATTGCCTCCACAGCTGACACTTATCGAATTGCTTCCCAACTGTTCCGAGAGCCTCGAGATGATCGAGCGGCGGATGGAGAGTTCGAGATAGCCTTGCTTTCCGCTCGCCTCGCACCAGCACGGCTTTCCGTCTGCCCTCACCAGCAAGTGCAGGTAGATCCGTGTCTCGCTGACACACGAACAGAGGGGAGCCACAGATCGCACCTCCTTTCTGTTGTGACGCATTCACCAGCACTCAGGTTACTAGCGAGACCTTTCTCGGCCTCGTCCGCTGACCAGTAGCCCTTGAACACCGGAATTGCCGCTTACGGCGACAGTTTCCGCTTCCCGTTCGGGGTTATCATGACGGCGGCTAGCGGCGTGGGGAGCGCGTCGCGGGTGGGAGCACGTTCCGCCCTCGTCGTGACCTTTGCGTTAGCGTTAACGGCGCTTCTGCTGCTCGGCGCGCAGCCGCAATTCGCGGCGGGATTCAAGGCGCACGAGTTCAAGACATGCGACAAGGCGCATTTCTGCAAGCGGAACCGCAACCGCGAACCCGGCACGTCCACTTTGGCTCTGCGATCCGGCGAAATCAATTCCGGCGGAAAATTCATCGGTGTTATCCGTAACAAGGCTTCCGGAAAACGAAAGGTGGAGCTACTTCTGGAAATGACGGCATATGCGGATTCGACACTTCGTATGAAGATTAACGAAGATTCGTCGCAGAACCGCTTCGAGGTCCCCGACGTCCTCGAGCCAGGGCTCGAAACCAAGGCCGTGCCGCTCTCCGTGATTTCCGGGACGGCGGCGGAGGGTGACGTGACTCCTATCCACCTGTCGTTCGGCGAGGGTCGGCGCGCAGTGGTGGCGAAAGATCCGTTCGCCGTACACGTGTACCGCGGGGAGGATCTGCTCATGTCGTTCAACGGCAAGGGGCTGTTCGAGTTCGAGCACCGGCGCAACAAGACGGACCCCGCGCACGCGGAAGGCGGAGCTGCGGCGGAAGGCGGAGCGGCGGCGGCGGAAGGCGGGGAGAACGTTCTCGAGCAGCCGGTGGAGGGGGAGGGGGAGGCGAAGAGCGACGGCGGAGAGGCGGCGGAGGGAGACGAGCATGAGGGGGAGATGATGTTGCATGACGGGGAGGACGAGTCGTGGGAGGAGACGTTCAAGGGGCACTTCGACTCCAAGCCGCGCGGCCCCGAGGCCATCAGCTTCGACTTCACCTTCCATGGCGCGCAGCACGTCTATGGCATCCCCGAACGCGCCACCAGGTACTTCTGAAAAGCCTCCTGACCTGGGTAACCGAGGTATAGCCGACTTCAAGTTGCACTGCACGTCTATGCCGTCGTTCGTTGGTGTTCTCAGAGACCTCGCCTCGGCTATAATACCATCCCGAATCGGCGGTCAGCTCGTCATGCCGTCTCTTCTGCGGCCGTAGCGCTTGCCACCGCAATTCTAGCTCACAGCAAGTCCGCATTCCATCGGCGCGCAGCTCGCCGATGGACTTCTCTCTAAGAACTGCAGCAGTCGCCGCTTGGACTGTACGAAATCAATCCATGGCCATCTGTGCCCCCTTGCTACTTCCCCCCTTTCCTCTTCCCGCCCTGGACCTGTTTGAGTACCTGCATGAGTCGCCTTTTGGGCTTTACTGAGTCTTCTCTTGTGCGCCATCCAACCATTCCCCCCTCCCTGCTCTCCCTCCCCCTAATTGCTTTCTTCTGCGCGTAACATGACAGTCTCTCTCTGCGCCCCACAAAGGGCCCCGGCGTGCACAGCGAGCCGTACCGGCTGTACAACCTGGACGTGTTCGAGTACCTGCATGAGTCGCCGCTTGGACTGTACAGGTTTACTCAGCTGTCACTTATGCTTCTTCCCCGCGTCCGCTCTTTCTCTTTTCCCCGCCCATCAACAGCCTCTCTCTGCGCCTCACCAGAGGCCCCGGCGTGCACAGCGAGCCGTACCGGCTGTACAACCTGGACGTGATTGAGTACCTGCATGAGTCGCCCTTCCCTTCGGGCTCTACTGAGTATTTTCTTGTGCACTCCCCCCATTTCCCCTCCCACCCCAAATCCCATTGCTTTCTTCTGCCTGTCAGCCTGTCCCTCGGCCCGACTAGAGGCCCCGGCATGCACAGCGAGCCGTACCGGCTGTACAACCTGGACGTGTTCGAGTACCTGCATGAGTCACCGCTTGAACTGTAACGGTCCACTCATTTGTCACTTATTCTTCTTCCCCGCTTCCCCCTGTCCCTTCCTTCCAACGCCAGCCTCTCTCTCGGCCCGACTAAAGGCCCCGGCGTGCACAGCGAGCCGTACCGGCTGTACAACCTGGACGTGTTCGAGTACCTGCATGAGTCGCCCTTCGGGCTCTACGGCTCCATTCCCATGATGCTCGCGCACAGCGCCTCGCGCACGGCCGGCATGTTCTGGCTGAATGCAGCTGAGATGTGGATCGATGTGCTGGCGAGTGCCGAGGACGTGACTGCGCCTGAGGTGAGGTGTGGTGGTAGTAGACTATGCGTGTGTGTGCATGTGCGTGTGCATGCGTGCATGTGTGCGTGCGTGTGTGTTTGTTTGAGTACCTGCATGAGTCGCCCTTCGGGCTCTACGGCTCCATCCCCATGATGCTCGCTCACAGCGCCACGCGCACGGCCGGGGTGTTTTGGCTGAATGCGGCTGAGATGTGGATCGATGTGCTGGCCAAGCCCGAGGACGTGCCTGTACCGGAGGTGAGTTGTAGTGGTAGTAGATTATGTGTGCGTGCGTGCATGTTTGCGTGCGTCTGAATGTGTTTGTGTGAGTACCTGCATGAGTCGCCCATTGGGCTCTACGGCTCCATCCCCGTGATGCTCGCACACAGCGCCAACCGCACGGCCGGCGTGTTTTGGCTCAATGCGGCCGAGATGTGGATCGATGTGCTGGCCAAGCCTGAGGACGTGACTGTACCGGAGGTGAGGCGTGGTAGGGTGGTAGTAGATTTTTGAGTCGGATTTAAAGGCACCACGCCGCATGCACTGCTGGCGTGTTCTGGCTGAATGCGGCTTGAGATGTGGGTCGATGTGCTGGCCAAGCCCGAGGACGTGACTGTGCCGGAGGTGCGGTGTGGTGGTAGTAGATGGTGTGCGTGTGTGTGTATGTGGTTGTTTGTTCGGCCCATCCACCTGGTCGTTGTCCCGCTCTGTATGAGCGTGCATGCAGGGAGTAGCAGAGAGTGGTATTCAGCAGCAGAGGCCCTCAATGCACTCGACACTCTCTCTTCTCCCCATGCTACCACTTTTGAGCCACCCATGCTTTTTGAGTCAACTCAAATCGCTCCCGCTTTCCTGCCACCCAGGTGACGACCCACTGGATAGCTGAGAGCGGCATCGTCGACCTCTTCTTCTTCCTGGGCCCGTCGCCGGCCGGCGTGGTTCGGCAGTACACGGCAGTCACAGGAACCACAGCCATGCCGCAGCTGTTTGCGGTGGCGTACCAGCAGTGCCGGTGGAACTACAAGGACGAGGCGGACGCTCTGGCTGTGGACGCTGGCTTCGATGAGCATGACATTCCCTATGACGTGCTGTGGCTTGACATTGAGCACACGGATGGGAAGAGGTGAGTGGGTTCAGAGGGCACGGGATGAGGACAGGGCAGGATATTCTATGCATGGTTAGATTAACATGACATCCTGCATGATGTGCTGTGGCTTGACATCGAGCACACGGATGGCAAGAGGTGAGTGGTTGGAGATGCAGAACTGTGAGGTGCTGTGAGTGGTTGTGTGTGGAGAGAGAGGTTTGATGAGCATGACATTCCGTATGACGTGCTGTGGCTTGACATCGAACACACGGATGGCAAGAGGTGAGTGGTTGGAGATGCAGAACTGTGAGGTGCTGTGAGTGGTTGTGTGTGGAGAGAGAGGTTTGATGAGCATGACATTCCGTATGACGTGCTGTGGCTTGACATCGAGCACACGGATGGCAAGAGGTGAGTGGTTGGAGATGCAGAACTGTGAGGTGCTGTGAGTGGTTGTGTGTGGAGAGAGAGGTTTGATGAGCATGACATTCCGTATGACGTGCTGTGGCTTGACATCGAGCACACGGATGGCAAGAGGTGAGTGGTTGGAGATGCAGAACTGTGAGGTGCTGTGAGTGGTTGTGTGTGGAGAGAGAGGTTTGATGAGCATGACATTCCGTATGACGTGCTGTGGCTTGACATCGAGCACACGGATGGCAAGAGGTGAGTGGGTTGAGGGGGCGGGGAGGAATAAGGCAAGGAATGCTTTGGTAAGATGTGCGGGGCGAGAGCATGGCATACTATGCAGATCAGATTCGTGGACAAGGGGCGAAAGATGGTCACCATAATGGGACCCGCACACAAAGCTAGGTGCCCAGGGGTGTCATCCTAATGGGAGGTGTGATTCTCATGTGTTTTGACTTGACTTCCACACCACGTGCCTCTCTTGTGCTTGTTTTGCCACCCCCATGCCTGCCTGCCTACCAGGTACATGACGTGGGACTCAACGCATTTCCCCCACCCGGCCGAAATGCAGCAGAAATTGGCCGCCAAGGGGCGCAAGATGGTGATGATTGTGAACCCGCATGTGAAGGCAGTTAGATGTCTGAGGTTTTGAGTCTCATGTGCTTATGCCATGCACCCATGCCTGCCTGCCCTTCAGGTACATGACTTGGGACTCAACGGACTTCCCCCACCCAGCTGACATGCGGCACAAGTTCGCCGCCAAGGGGCGCAAGATGGTCACCATTGTGGACCCGCACGTGAAGCGAAGCTCCTGGGGGTGTGATTCTCATGTGCTTCTCTCTCACTTGATACGCAATGCACCCCCTCATGCGCCGCCCTCACGCTCCCATGCCTGCCCTTCAGGTACATGACGTGGGACTCCACTCACTTCCCCCACCCGGCCGAAATGCAGCAGAAATTCGCAGCCAAGGGGCGCAAGATGGTCACCATTGTGGACCCGCACGTGAAGCGAAGCTCCTGGGGGTGTGATTCTCATGTGCTTCTCTCTCACTTGATACGCAATGCACCCCCTCATGCGCCGCCCTCACGCTCCCATGCCTGCCCTTCAGGTACATGACGTGGGACTCCACTCACTTCCCCCACCCGGCCGAAATGCAGCAGAAATTCGCAGCCAAGGGGCGCAAGATGGTCACCATTGTGGACCCGCACGTGAAGCGAAGCTCCTGGGGGTGTGATTCTCATGTGCTTCTCTCTCACTTGATACGCAATGCACCCCCTCATGCGCCGCCCTCACGCTCCCATGCCTGCCCTTCAGGTACATGACGTGGGACTCCACTCACTTCCCCCACCCGGCCGAAATGCAGCAGAAATTCGCAGCCAAGGGGCGCAAGATGGTCACCATTGTGGACCCGCACGTGAAGCGAAGCTCCTGGGGGTGTGATTCTCATGTGCTTCTCTCTCACTTGATACGCAATGCACCCCCTCATGCGCCGCCCTCACGCTCCCATGCCTGCCCTTCAGGTACATGACCTGGGACTCCACTCACTTCCCCCACCCGGCCGAAATGCAGCAGAAATTCGCAGCCAAGGGGCGCAAGATGGTCACCATCGTGGACCCGCATGTGAAGCGCGACGACGGGTACTCTCTGCATAAGGAGGCGACTAATAAGGGGTACTACGTGAAGGACTCGAGCGGCAAGGACTACGACGGGTGGTGCTGGCCCGGCAGCAGCAGCTACTTGGACGTGCTCAGTCCGGAGATTCGTGACTGGTGGGCCGGCAAGTTTGCCTACTCCAGCTATGGCGGGTCCACTCCGAACCTGTACATCTGGAATGACATGAACGAGCCTTCTGTGTTCAACGGGCCTGAGGTGAGGACTGGAATGGCATGGGCGAGTTCAGTTGACTTGGGTTGACTTGAGTTCACTTGTGTTGTCTTGAAGCGACTAATAAGGGGTACTACGTGAAGGACTCGAGTGGCAAGGACTACGACGGGTGGTGCTGGCCGGGCAGCAGCAGCTACTTGGACGTGCTCAGTCCGGAGATTCGTGATTGGTGGGCCGGCAAGTTTGCGTATTCCAGCTATGGCGGGTCGACGCCGAACCTGTACATCTGGAACGACATGAACGAGCCGTCTGTGTTCAATGGGCCTGAGGTGGGTCGACTTTGGTTGACTTGAGTTGACTCCTAGCTATGGCGGGTCCACCCCGAATCTGTACATGTGGAATGACATGAACGAGCCGTCTGTGTTCAATGGGTCTGAGGTGGGTTGACTTTGGTTGACTTGAGTTGACTCCTAGCTGTGGCGGGTCCACCCCGAATCTGTACATCTGGAACGACATGAACGAGCCGTCTGTGTTCAATGGGCCTGAGGTGGGTTGACTTTGGTTGACTTGAGTTGACTCCTAGCTATGGCGGGTCCACCCCGAATCTGTACATGTGGAATGACATGAACGAGCCGTCTGTGTTCAATGGGTCTGAGGTGGGTTGACTTTGGTCGACTTGAGTTGACTCCTAGCTATGGCGGGTCCACCCCGAATCTGTACATCTGGAATGACATGAACGAGCCATCGGTGTTCAACGGGCCTGAGGTGGGTTGACTTTGGTTGACTTGAGTTGACTCCTAGCTATGGCGGGTCCACCCCGAATCTGTACATGTGGAACGACATGAACGAGCCGTCTGTGTTCAATGGGCCTGAGGTGGGTTGACTTTGGTTGACTTGAGTTGACTCCTAGCTATGGCGGGTCCACCCCGAACCTGTACATCTGGAACGACATGAACGAGCCGTCTGTGTTCAATGGGCCTGAGGTGGGTTGACGTTGGTTGACTTGAGTTGACTCCTAGCTATGGCGGGTCCACCCCGAATCTGTACATGTGGAATGAGATGAACGAGCCGTCTGTGTTCAATGGGTCTGAGGTGGGTTGACTTTGGTTGACTTGAGTTGACTCCTAGCTAGGGCGGGCCCACCCCGAATCTGTACATCTGGAACGACATGAACGAGCCGTCTGTGTTCAATGGGCCTGAGGTGGGTTGACTTTGGTTGACTTGAGTTGACTCCTAGCTATGGCGGGTCCACCCCGAATCTGTACATGTGGAATGACATGAACGAGCCGTCTGTGTTCAATGGGTCTGAGGTGGGTTGACTTTGGTTGACTTGAGTTGACTCCTAGCTATGGCGGGTCCACCCCGAATCTGTACATCTGGAATGACATGAACGAGCCGTCTGTGTTCAATGGGCCTGAGGTGGGTTGACTTTGGTTGACTTGAGTTGACTCCTAGCTATGGCGGGTCCACCCCGAATCTGTACATGTGGAATGACATGAACGAGCCGTCTGTGTTCAATGGGTCTGAGGTGGGTTGACTTTGGTTGACTTGAGTTGACTCCTAGCTATGGCGGGTCCACCCCGAATCTGTACATCTGGAACGACATGAACGAGCCGTCTGTGTTCAATGGGCCTGAGGTGGGTTGACTTGGTTGACTTGAGTTGACTCCTAGCTATGGCGGGTCCACCCCGAATCTGTACATGTGGAATGACATGAACGAGCCGTCTGTGTTCAATGGGTCTGAGGTGGGTTGACTTTGGTTGACTTGAGTTGACTCCTAGCTACGGCGGGTCCACCCCGAATTTGTAAATCTGGAATGACATGAACTAGCCATCGGTGTTCAACGGGCCTGAGGTGAGCAACGGAATGGTCGGAGCTTGAGTGGTGTGGGTAGGTTCTGCATGAAGCAGATGTGGCGGGTTGACCGTCAATTACTGACAATTATGGCAGTTGGAACGAGCAGGGCTGGGCCGAGCCGTCATGTCTTCTGCACCCTCCCTCCCTCCCTCATTCCCCCCCTTTCCTCCTCCCTCTTCATGCTCGCCTTGCCCCCACCCCAACCAGGTGACGATGCCTAAGAACAATCTGCACCACAGGGTTGTGGAGTACTGCAACGTGCACAACGCCTAATTTACTTCCCCCTTCTCCCACACACAACCCACCCAACCCCACCTCCCCCTCTTCCCCCCCTCTACATCTTCCCCCGTCCCTCACCAGGTGACAATGCCTAAAGACAATGTGACTTTTGAGTCAACTCAAAAGTCACCTCACCAGGTGACAATGCCTAAAGACAATCCGCACCACAGGGGAGTGGAGCGCCGTGACGTGCATAACGCCCACAGCTTAGATGATTTCTGAAGCGCCCCTTCCTCCACTTCCCTCCCCCAACCCACCACCACTTGCCTAGGTCACCATGCCCAAGGACAATTTGCACTACAGGGGGGTGGATGGAGCACCGCGACGGGCACAACACAACACTCATGGCTGAGACAATATCTGTCCCCTGCCCTCCCGTTTCCTCCTCTTTCTCCCGTTTCCTCCCCACCAGGTCACCATGCCCAAGGACAATCTGCACTATGGAGGGGTGGAGCACCGGGACGTGCACAACGCCTATGGCTACTACTACCACCTCGCCACCGCCCACCCAGGGGCTCAAGACGTTCATTCCCCTTCCCCTTCCCTTTCCCTCCCCCACCAGGTCACCATGCCAAAAGACAACTTGCATTTTGGGGGCGTGGAGCACCGCGACGTGCACAACGCCTACGGCTACTACTACCACCTCGCCACCGCCCAGGGGCTCAAGATCCGCAACGGGCCGGGCAATCTGGACCGTCCGTTCGTGCTCTCCAGGGCCATCTTTGCGGGATCGCAGCGAGTGGGGCCCATCTGGACAGGCGATAACACGGCTGACTGGAACCACCTCAGGGTGTCCATCCCAATGCTTCTCAGCCTTGGATTGGCTGGCATGGGCTTCTCAGGTATGCAATGCGGTTATCAGGCGTGCAGTGCCGTTGTCAGGTATGCAGTGCGGTTTTCAGGTCTGGAAATATAGAGATATGCCACGTTGGGTTCTTGAGAGGTGGGGCCCATCTGGACAGGCGATAACACGGCTGACTGGAACCACCTGCGGGTGTCCATCCCCATGCTGCTCAGCCTTGGATTGGCTGGCATGGGCTTCTCAGGTATGATTCTCGTATGTGGCAGGTGTGCAGTGCGGTTCTCAGGTATGAAGATATCCCGGGGGGTCTTCAGAGGCGGGCCCCATCTGGACGGATGACAACAACACGGCTGACTGGAACCACCCGCGGGTGTCCATCCCCATGCTGCTCAGCCTTGGGCTCGCTGGCTGGCACAGGGTTCGTAGGTATGCAGTTTTGAGACGTCTCAAGCCTCGCTGGCTCATTTTCCTCCACCTACTCCATTGTAACAGGAGCAGACACAAGAAGGTTCATCGACCATCTCAATGAGAACAAGACCCATACACACACTCTTGAACCCATCATCTCAATAAAGTTCACACACGTTCTCCTCCAACCGCCCTCCCTTTGTTGCCTCCCTCCCTCTCTGCCCCGCACTTCCTCCCTCCTGCCCGCTCCCGCCCCCAGGTGCTGACGTGGGGGGGTTCTTTGGCAATCCGAGTGCGGAGCTGCTGCTGCGGTGGTACCAGATGGGAGTCTTCTATCCCTTCTTCCGCGCCCATGCCCACCTCGACACCAAGCGCCGCGAGCCCTGGCTCTTCGGGTACGAGGTGTTTTTTTTTTAGTTATGTTCTGTGCTATGCTCTTCTGTTTATTTCTATTGTATTTTAGTTTTACTGTTGGGATATCTCAAAAGCAAGAAAAACGACAGAAACATTCTGCTGTGCATGCACTATGCACTACATACTACCATCCTTCCCCCATCCTCCCCCCCCGCCCATGCAGCGAGCCGTACACCTCGCACATCCGGGAGGCTGTGCGCATGCGCTACGCGCTGCTGCCCTACCTCTACACCCTAATAACCACCCTGTCCTCCCCCATCCTCCCCCCCCTCCCATGCAGCGAGCCCTACACCTCCCACATCCGTGAGGCAGTGCGCACGCGCTACGCCCTCCTCCCCTACCTGTACACGCAGTTCCGCACCGCCTTCACGGCAGGCACGCCCCCCATGCGCCCGCTGTGGTTCGAGTTCCCCTCCGACCCTCAGCTCTTCACCCACCAGGACTCGTTCCTGCTCGGCCCCTCCGTGCTTGTGCACCCGGTTACTGTGGAGGTGAGCTTTGTTCCTGCCCCCGTCCCCACCCGACGGCATGGACGGCCGGCACGCCCCCCATGCGCCCGCTGTGGTTCGAGTTCCCCTCGAACCCGCGGCTCTTCACCCACCAGGACTCGTTTCTTCTGGGCCCATCTGTGCTCGTGCACCCGGTTACTGTGGAGGTGGGTTATTTGTGCCCCCCTGTGCGCCTCCCACCCGCTTTCACCACCGTGTAGTGCGCCTGGTTTTGGTCCAAAGACAAAATATGCGTGATTCTGTGTTATTCTTCTTTCTCCATGGGGTTACGGAATCGCCCCTCTCCTCTCCTTTCGATTTTCATCCCCTCTTTCCCCTCGCCTCCCCTCTTTCCCCTCGTCTCTCACCCTTCCCTGCTTCTGCTCCTTCTTCCCTTCCTTCCCTTATCCCCCCCTCCTCTCCCTTCCCCCCATTCCTTCCCTCTTCATCCCCGGTCCCCCCATTCTCCCTGCTTATTACACTCCAGGGTGCCACGTCAGTGAAAGTTTTGTTTCCGGGCAGCGAGTTCTGGTACGACCTGAAGACCGGGCAGCCGCACGCGAGTGGGGAGAGGGAGCTGCCTGTGTCTCTCTCAACAATGCCTGTCTTCCAGCGCGCCGGCTCCATCGTTCCGCGCAAGGACCGTGCCCGGCGCTCCAGCACGCAGATGGAGAAGGACCCTTTCACGCTGGTGAGCAGAGGAATGGCACAGAGCAGAGAACTGGAAGGAATATCACACCCTTTGGTGAAGATTGCAAGGGAACGAGTGAATGAAGGGTTTATGCAGTGTGGTGGGTGAGGAGGCCAGCCCTGGTGAGGTGAGGTGCGCGCGAGTGGGGAGAGGGAGCTGCCCGTGTCTCTCTCAACAATGCCTGTCTTCCAGCGCGCCGGCTCCATCGTTCCGCGCAAGGACCGCGCCCGGCGGTCCAGCACGCAGATGGAGAAGGACCCTTTCACGCTGGTGAGTGGTGAGAGGACCCTTACACCTTGGTGAGCGTTGAAGGAGCCTTAAGCTCTAAGAGTGAGCACCTAGATAGAGAAGCTCCATTACACCCTGGTGAGCATGGGGAGGGCATAGAGCCTTGGAAGGACCCTCACACCCTGGTGTTTTTGCAAAAGAGAGTCGCTCACATACGGGTTCGCATTGCAAGGGATGAACAAAAGCAGGACCCTTGCACTCTGGTGAGGAGTAGACCAGAGCACTGGAAGGAACGTCACACTCTGGCGGGGATTGCAGGGGATGAGCGAAATCTTGGACAAAGGTGAGTCGTTCACTTGCTAGAAGGGGGCCTTTCATCCACTGCCGCTTTTCAATAAATCACACTCGAATTCCTTCTCTCTCTCCCCTTCCTGTCAGGTCATTGCTCTCAACAGCAGCATGGAGGCAGAGGGCAGGCTGTACATCGACAACCTGCCGATGGAGCCTTCATCCAAACCCCTTCCCCTATCCCTTGCCACTTCCTCTTCTCACTCAAAACCCTTACCCCATCCCCTGCTCACTCCCGTCCTCCCCATGGCAGGTCATTGCACTGAACAGCAGCATGGAGGCAGAGGGAGAGCTCTACATCGACGATGGCAAGTCCCATGTGTTTCGCATCCTGATTGCGTTCAAAATCTTTCATTCCTTCCGTTCCCACTAGGTGATCGCACTGAACAGCAGCATGGGGGCAGAGGGAGAGCTTTACATCGACGATGGCAAGTCCTACGCGTACGAGAAGGGCGCCTTCATCCACCGCCGCTTCCTCTTCTCCAATGGAGTCCTGCGCTCGCTCCCGCACCCCGATGACGTGGCGGCATCCCATTCGCTGGGAGCGCAGCGGCAGGCGTTTGAGACGCCGTGTGTGGTGGAGCGGGTGGTGGTGTTCGGGCTGCCTCAGGAGAAGCTGGCAAGGAGCCGAGAAGCAGTGGTGGAGGGGACGGGGATGCGAGTGGAGGTGAGACAGTGGGAGTGATGGTATGGCGTTTGTGGTTGTGGTTTGGGCATGCAGTGCGTGCGCTGTGGTTTGGGTCTGAGACCCCGTGTGTGGTGGAGCGGGTGGTGGTGTTGGGGCTGCCTCAGGAGAGGCTGGCGAGGAGCCGAGAGGCAGTGGTGGAGGGGACGGGCGTGCAAGTGGAGGTGAGTGAAGCGGCATGGTTGAATGGAGTTTGTCGGTAGTGGTTTGGGCATGCAATGCTCTGTGGTTTGGGTTTGAGACCCCGTGTGTGGTAGAGCGGGTGGTGGTGTTTGGGCTGTCGGCTGATAAGAGCCGCGAAGCAGTGGTGGAGGGGACGGGGGTGCGAGTGGAGGTGAGTGGTGAAGGGTACTGTGGTATGATGTGCCATGATGTGCTGCCTGGCTTTCCACGGTTTGCACTGTATGGCCCGAGAGGTTGTGGTGGATGTATTCCCCCTTTCTTCTTCCTCCCACCCTCTCCTCTCCTTCCCAACTCTCCATCCATCTCACGGGAGACTTTTGAGTCGACTCAAAAGTAACCCCATCTCCTCTCCTTCCCAACTCTCCATCCATCCCATGGGAGCAGGCTGTGTTTTGAGTCAATTCACAAGGAGTGTGTTTTTAGTCGACTCAGACCACTCCCTCTCATGTGATTATGCTGTGGGTTCCGTTCGGGCTGCATTGCTTTGCACGGAAGTGCCCTCCCCAGATTTTCACCAACTCATTTCTATCGTCTACCTCTGATCTCCCACTCACTCCGGTTTCGCACATGTCTCCCTCTCTCTATATTCCCTTCCCTACCCCATGCCACCCCACGTCCTCTGTCTGCTTGCAGGAGGAGGTGGGTCCGGCCTGGCTGCGACCAGGAGTGCCCTCCTCATTTTCTATTCCTCCCTCTTTGTGTTCATTGCCGTCTTTCCATCCCACCCTCATGCCACCCCACGTCTTCTGCCTGCTTGCAGGAGGAGGTGGGTCCGGCCTGGCTGCGACCAGGAGTGCCCTCCTCATTTTCTATTCCTCCCTCTTTGTGTTCATTGCCGTCTTCCATCCCACCCTCATGCCACCCCACGTCTTCTGCCTGCGTGCAGGAGGAGGTGGGTCCGGCATGGCTGCGACCAGGAGTGCCCTCCTCGGTGTTGGTGGTCAGAGCGCCACGTGTGCCTATCGCCTCTGATTGGTCTATCAAGATCTTCGATGCATGAAGGAACGCATTCAGTGACCCATTCGGTGAACATAGCAAATCGACTCGACTCTTGATGTGGGTGTAGAATCTGCATTCCAATATAACACCCAGTCCTCAGGTGCTACACTGGGTGAATCCATTAGTTCCAGGATGCAAAAAGATTGTGTGATGTGCATGGACTTCAGTGAAGCACCCCTTCGTGATATGCTACCAGGGTTTGCAAAGAACCCTTTATCAGTGCAATGTGGAATGTGCCTACGTATGGGGCAGCTTGTGTAGTCATGATGTAAGGACCTCTCTTGTTGAGGTCAACATAAGGTCTCCTTCCCATCATATCCTCCCGACGGTCAACATAAACTGGCGAAGACGATGGTAGACTCACAATTTGGAATGCTGCCATGCCTGGGTTTACCATCGGTCACGCCTATGGTAAACCATGACATTCAGTCACGCCTATGCTCTGGTACTCTGGTTTTATGATGTTGGCTCCCCGATTTTGAATAAAATGGAGACAGCATATATTAAGCATTTCAGCCATTCGAACCGTTTCCCTAACGTCAGCAGCAAGGAGTTAGCCTTCGCGAGAGTCATTCGCGAACAGTAAGCCAAGTGGTTACCATTTTGTCTTGTCGATTTACATGCCGGATCTAGTTGTCGTCGTCATCGTCGCCATGGTGGTGGTGATCGTCGTCGTCCTTTTCGTCCTTCTGAATCGGCTTCGGGTTGCACTTTTCGTAGCAATAATCGGCGCGCTTCTTGCACGTCGTGACGCTCATCCGGTCGTCCTCCATACAGCGCATCTTGTTATAAGCACACCAGTCTTTGCACGTCCACTTGCCGTACTTGCACTTCTTATACAGCATGTACGCCTTCCTTTCGCACGAGTCGTCTGCGACGTCGCAGATGGCCTTCTCGTCCTCGTCGTCCGACTCCCGCTTGCACCACTCGTGCTTGAAGCTGCACTTATCGGACCGCAGCTTGTACTTTTCCATACACGTCAGCTTCTTCTTCTCCTTCTTGGGCGGCGGGGGAGGCGGCGGCGGCGACGGGCTGGGCTTGGGCGGCGAGTGGTCGTCGTCGTCGTCTTCGCAACCCAGATCGTCGTCGTCGTCATCTTCGCTGCTCAGTCGTCGCCGGAACATCGTCTTGGACTCTGCGGGGATAGGGAGAGAAAGAAAATTTCGGGAATTAGGAAGGGAGGAAGGGGGGCTAAGGGCTCGCCGTATTGGGCGAAGAAATATAAGGGCACTGATGTAGAGCAGGAGAGTTCAGGTAGGAAACGTGGATGGTTACAATGGGCGATAGCTGCCGTTTATGTCGAAGAATAACTAACCTTCAGCGCCGCCAGTTGGCTGTCGGGTCAGTGTCGTCGAACCCGCAACCTCCCCTGTTGGCACATCCGCATGAGCTGTAAGAGGAAGGAGGACGAGGAGGCCCACGGTAACAATGCACAGGAACGCAACTAACTTGCTCCCTTCCATGAATGTAGCTAGGCTGGTCGGTATAGGAGCCCTCTCGGTCTATATCTGGGATTGGCTTGGATTAATGACCAAAAGCCTGCGCTTGTTGGCTTTTATAGGAACGAGGTGTCGAAACAAGTGGGAGTTGTTGGGCTTGAGAAGGGCTTTGCTGACTGAGAGGAAAGGGAAGGCGACATCGGTTGTGAATGTGCGCTTGCCAAGCAGAAAGAGCCGCGTCGCGAATTGCAGTTCACAGAACAGAACAGGAGGGATGGGTGGAATCTGGTTGCAGCCGCGATGAATCATGGCCATCACCCTTACCACTTTCGAGTCGCCTCCCATTCACTCACACCAATAATATATCGTCTTGCGAATTAAACGAAGCGATAATATGTGAGTCTTTGGTAACTTTGTGGCCTCGTTTCTCCTATATGGCGAAAATGTACGGCGATCGCAAAAAATCTGCGAAGAATCACGACCACTTGCAATCCCCATCAATACAAGCGTGTGGACTTTTGCCCGCCTAGGGTTGCGCGGTTCGGTACTGTGTCGAATGCCTGTGGGTGAACGGAGCGACCTTGTATTGGAATCAAAGTACGATGGTTTTCTACAGCGCGTCTTACAGCGTAGCTTACGCAAATAAAAGCTTCTGAACCAGCTTTATGAACGTACGAGTCTCAGATGGTGGGAAAGGCAGGGGTCAAGTTCAGATTACAACAATGGAATCTGTCAAATTACTCTTATTTAGAAAAGAAACAGGAATGACATGCAGCTGGGAACTCCCACTATAGCACGTCTCTATCACAACCAGCAAACAGAGCACCCACTACAGCACCGTCAGCAACAAGCAGTTAGCTACCCAGAACTCACTTCATAACAATTAGCCGAACGCTTAGCCCCTAAGCTAAAGAAACATGTCTAGTACTTGCCCTGATGATTGTTGTACTTGTCATCGTGGTGATCATCGTACTTGTTGTCATTGTGGCTGGAACTCATGTGATAGTTGTCGTCGTTGTGGCACTTGTCATAGCAAGAGTCGCAGCGGTCTTGGCACGTGCTGCTGCTCTGGTGGTAGTCCTCCACGCACTTGAGCTTGTTATAGTCACACCAGTTCTCGCACGTCCACTTGCCCTGCTTGCACTTATCGTACAGCATGTACGCCCTCCTCTCGCACGCGTCGTTCGACGAGTCGCAGTAATCCCCGCCACCGCACCGCTCGCGCTTGTAGCTGCACTTATCGGAGCGCATCTTGTACTTCTCGGAGCAGCTCATTCTCTCGTACTTGCTGTCGTAGTTGTTGTTGTCGTCATGATTGTCATTGTACTTGTTGTCGTCGTGACTGCCGCTGTACTTGCTGTCGCCGTTATTGCCGCTGTACTTATTGTCGCCGTTATTGCCGCTGTACTTGTTGTCGTCGTGACTGCCGCTGTACTTGTTGTCGCCGTTATTGCCACTGTACTTATTGTCGCCGTTATTGCCGCTGTATTTGTTGTCGCCGTTGTTGCCGCTGTACTTATTGTCGCCGTTATTGCCGCTGTATTTGTTGTCGCCGTTGTTGCCGCTGTACTTATTGTCGCCGTTGTTGCCGCTGTACTTATTGTTGTACTTGTTGTTGTCGTTGTAATTGTTGTTGCCGCTGTTGTAATTGTTGTTGCCGTTGTTGTTGTTGTACTTGTTGTTGCTGTTGTAATTGTTGTAATTGTTGTTGTTGTACTTCATGTTGTCGTCGTCCTTGTCGTCGTCCTTGCAATCTAAGTCATCATCGTCGTCATCGTCGTGGTGGTGGTGGCGATAGCCCAAGCGACGTCCGCGAAGTTTCGCTGCGAAGGGGGAATCAAGAAAGCCAACGGCGAGGACCCGGCGAAAACGACTCAGCAAGCATGAAAAGAAACGGATGGTCAAATGGCAAAACGGGCCTGCAGGTTGAAAAATAACGGGACAGGCAGGATGCGGGGTTTGATGCACGACTGGGAAAGGGTGTGTACCTTCAGAGACGCCGCTCGGCCCTGTGGTGGCTCCCGTCGTCCCGGACTTGGCTATCGCTGAGACGCCATCTATGGCCGCCAACTCCGCATGGGCACAGGGCGGAAGGAGAAACAGCAGAGCCACGATCACGGTGCACGCAAGCGCAAGAATTCTCCTACCTTCCATCGAAGCCATCGCAGTGGTGATGATGTCGCTACCCTAGATGATGTCGCTCGCTGACCGATAAGAGATGCGGATGCGGAAACGATAAGTCGGATTGGAAAAAACTGAGTTGATAAGAAAACAACAGCACCCTGAGCCTATATATAGGGATTTTGCAGGCACATGCACGGAAGGCAGGCCGATTTTTGCCCTTATCTTGACGGGAGCAGGGCCGCGTCGCGAATCGCGACAGCAACAAACATTCTGCTGCGCCTGTTCTGCCTGTTCAACAAAACTAGCCCCTACCTAATCCTCCAGCAACCACAAAGGCATCCTGTAAATTTACGGAGATGCTGTTCTTGTTTTCGTCAACTCGCGGTAGAACAAAACGTTGTTTTCGTCACTCCTCGCTGCCGCCGTTTTGCCTGTTCTGGGAGTGTTGGCAGCGAGGAAGTCCAGCACTCATCAGATGTCGCGATGGCAAGGTTTCACGACGATGGTTACCTGATCGACAGTAGGTCGACACACAGTGTGACTAAAGCAATCACGACAGTTCAAGGAGACGGGTCGCCTCGCCGCCCGCCATTCCATGAAGCGACGTCAAGTTCAGTGGCACCAACGAATAGGGACGGCATTGCATTTTAAATGTGCGGTGCGTCCGATAATCACGTGGCACTAACGATGGGTTGCCCCATGAAGCATTGGCGGAAAAGTGTTATCGAGTGAAATTCAGCAAGAGAGCGAGGATTGCACTATCGAGGCAAAGTACATTACAATGCGAAAGATGGTAATGGTAACGCGAGAAATGCGTGGAATAAACAATGACACAATTGTCACTGAATTAAGGCAGGCCATACAACAAAGGCCTGAGCAAATATCGAGGACCTTAGCTAGCCAGGCCCTTGCTAATATATTTTTGGCACGTGTTAGGGTGCAAAAGGTTCAATAATGACTGGCAGGGAATGTTGCGCTGACAGATTATCACCAATCGACACTTGTGTGTGGCGTCTCCACGTTGTCATTAGTGTCCGCTTATGAAGAATGTGATTCTATCGTCGAATTCAGTGCATGGATGCATGGATGCCACCCTTTGCGGGGATTTTCACTTTGTGCGGTGTTGGAATAACCGAAGGGTTATCGTAACATTCCCAAAGGCTCTCCACCCGAGCGTCACTCCATAACGAAGCAGCGCGCCTACTTTAGTACCGCAATAGCTCATATAGAGCATGCGGAAGATCGAGAGTCACCCGAAGGTCAACAGTCGAAAACAGTCAACGGTCGTAACTCTTGACCGTCCAGTAACCGCACTTGGTAGTTACGCGATGCAACATGGTAACTGTCAAGAAGAGCAATAGTCGTGGTTACTGTAGCAATGCACATCAGTTAATAAGGGAATGTACCCCT